CAGTCAGAGGGGGAGGGCAAAAATATTAGCACATCGACTGTCACAGTGAAAAAGGCTGTATATAGCCAGACACACATTATTTTGTTTGTACAGTCATAAATCGTTGAAATTGTATGCGTTTTGTTAATCGAAGCTGTTAGTCGTGATTCAAATTATACTGCAATCTTAAATATCACGTAAAAATTTTGTAACTCTGGGAAGGGGGGGGGGGAATCCAATTTTTTTTCTTGTAAGTACACCTGGGCTACCATGGCCCTAGCCATGACAAGAGGATACTCAAAACGATTCCGAAAGCTGATCTACAGAAATCTATCCATACAGTGGTTGACCGTGTCCAAGCGTTGTATTAATATCAAAGGAGTATATTTTATATAAAATGAATGATTTTTAGAAATATGATTAGTGTTTGAATTAACACATTATCAATCCTGTTATTTCTCAGAGATACTGTTGTACATCTGACACTTTATTTTCAAGACTTTTCCTATGTAGTTGCATTAAAGTGACATGATACGATTACTCTCAGCTAGAGCTTTCTAGGTGTATTTACATACCAATTGTAGTATGCCCGTTCAATGTTCTTTCTAAGCCAAAATACTGTTTTTCAACAAATGAATAGATATTACTGCACCCCGTAGCAATTTTTCAGAGCGTTATTCCTCGTATACAATACTTTTAACATCAACTGTTTTATGTTGACGTGAAACTTTTATAATGTCTGTTATTGTAATGACAAAATCTATTTGTTTTATCTCATATACAAAACAAAAAGATCTAACTTTGTTATGCTTTATGAGTAATAATAATTAACATTCGGCTTAAAAATTATTCCATGTACTGGTTTGCCGATTGTATCATATATGTTATATGCTAATAATAACAGTGCACTGTATCGTTGTTAGTAAACGTTAATATAAAATTTGTCTTTATATAAGAAATTAATAAGAGAGTAGGAATAGATGATACGAATAATGTACATACAGATTTGTTTCTATTCCTATTCTCTTAATAATACCGATGGTCATTCGTCTATAATTGACTTATTGATGGTAAATATTTTACAAATCGTTAATTGTAAATAATTCGATCATTAGTTACTATACATAATATATGTACAATACTAATGTATGATATAAGCAGTGTAAGTTTTTGAAATTATCTTCCCACATAATACAATGATTCGTTCAGTTGTTATTCCTCGTGAATCATGTGAAGTGTAGGCTCCACAAATAGTAGGCCACTACATAAATGTTAACAGTACATATGCAAAAATTAACATATTATTATATTTTTTACAAACATACTGCTGTATTACTAAGTTCCTATGATATTGCTACTCTTTGTACAAAATGATAAATTTAAATATTTCATACGATATGGAACACCGTAGTAACATTTATAGCATCTTTACAATGGAATGTAAGAAAATTATTATTAACCCTTCCGACCCGACCGACGTACACCGTACGTCCAGACGATCCGTCGTATGCCACGTATGTCGTACATCGTACGTCCTGATGCAAAATGACGAATTTTCGTCTTCTTATGATTCTACGATACATATTCTAAATAAAAACAGAATTATTATTATATTTTTAATATTTTATACAATAATTTCTTTATTTTCATGTATATATCCTTGTTTTATTTATAAATATAAAGATGTAAAAGCAATCGTATCTCACGTAGGTCTATGTCTCTTCAATTTGATGTGTGTCGATTTATATTTATATAACACGCTATACACATATAAATATCGATAATTTCAGTTTGGAGTTCTGGCACATCGACCGTACATGGGGACGTACGAAGTACGTCCGTCAGGTCGGAAGGGTTAAACGACACAAAAATTGTGAAGTCTCACCAGAAGTAAGTGGTTCTCTGTTGAATAAAGTTATGTATGTAGAAGGTGATTCGCTGTCATGTGTGAATGCAACTAAGTGGTTCGAAAATTGAGCATGAGGGAAAGGGCGTGTAGTCGTTATAAGTGCGTTGCCAAAAATAAAAAGTGTACAAGAGTGTTCCTAATAATTTAGAAGTTAATTCAAATTATGTTTACTTACTTTTACTGATTAAAGAATAGTGTTTATATTTACGTATAAATAGGTCTATTTCTTTAAAACTATTCCTTTCCGAAACCTCATAATCTTAACACTCCGAATAATTGGATCACGATTTTTTTCGTACATTTTGTGCAAAAGAAAGAAATGAAATGTAATGTGATTCATTCTATGTAGTCTTATTTACTCAATTTGTTTTGGAGAGACTGTACATCTTACTTTATATTGCAGATAGTATTTCATTTAATAGATACTGCACTTTAAAAGTAATCTAAAACGTGGAAATTTTCACTATCTGTTGGTAAAACTTCATTATATGCCTTAATTGTAATGTACCTTTCCTTACGTACTATAGAGTCGCGATAAGATTTCACTAAATTTGTCTATCTCTGAAGTATTTAAATTTATAAGTGGACTTTTAATTTTAATAATCAAATCCAGGTATGTTTGTTGCGAATTACATATCGCGATTAATCGTCTACATTTATGGCTAATAAATAATTGCTAATATTTGTATTATACGTTCATGAAAATACGTCCGAGATAACAATAATAACAAATGTTTTATACACTTAATTACTCCTATTGTATAAAACCTTAGCGAATCGCTCTATTTTTCGAAAAATCAGCTGTTTGTACAGAGTGTTATAAAAAAATGTTCAGGGAATCTGCATATAGTTGAAAGCAGTAAGCAATCATATCATGATCAATGTAAGAATAGTTATTGTAAGTTTGCTTTGCTTCTATCAATTTTTAAGCACATCTATAGATCATCCGCGTATTTATCAAAATGCAAACGATGTCATAATAAATTGAAAAATATAACAACCGTTTTATGATTAGAATAATTAGCTGACGTTAATAATAAAGTACCTTTCACAGTGTATAACCGTTGAGCCGTGCAAGTACTACTATGGTATTATACATATTGTACTAAAATATGTTATTCTAAAGTATGTGCAAAAATAGTGATAATCCTTGTAGAATGTTTTTAGATGTAACAAAGTAAAATATTTAAAAGTAAGGGAAGTCCCTTGTGTTTCTAAAATTACAACAGATTTCAAAGTCTGTGTAAAGTGATATTTCGATCTATGCTACATAAACACTATTTACTTTGCTGTGTGTCTACTATTTACCATATAAATCCTGAATTCTTTTTTGTAACAATCTGCATAGGTATATTATACAGGCTTTTGAATTACACCTTTTAAAACGCCGAAGCATTTGTCTATTCCTCTTGGTTTTCAAAACCTTTTTTGTCATGAAGATATTGTACCAGTTCATCATCATTTGAATACAATAAAATAATTTACAACAAATTTACAATAATCGAATAACAAAGAGTTTGCAACAGGATGAAAGCGTGGTGCAAATTGTACCACAAAAACTATTTTACACAATAATATTAACCACAAAATCACAAAGTTTTTCAAGAGAAACAGCAAGATTTTAGTTTACAATTTATATGTTTATACTCTATAGACTGCAGATTACAACTCGAATAACTTGAAAAATAGTGACAACTTAAATATGTGTATTGTTACCTAAAATTTAAGTTGTAAATAAAATGTATTAAATAATGAACATCGACGAAAGATTAAACAAAGTTGTTTGCTCATGTTTTTTAAGTTAAACATTTGATATCGTGTTCATTCCCATAACTAAGTGTATTTTTCATGCTAATAATATTCTTAATTACACACATATAACATTATTTTCATCACAAAGGAATTGATTTTACTTATGTAAAATTAAAATTGAGATAAGTATTCTCAAATCATTGTGCACTTATATACATACAGGGTGTCTCAGCTAATTCGATCACCTCCAATAATGACTTAACGGTATACTTTAAGAAAATTTTGACGCGTGCAGCTCAAATGGCATCAAGGGGCACATCTTATAAGGTAGGGACGTGCTTTTTTTGTGGGTGAATGCGTTTCCGAGATTTCAAGATCACCTTGATTTTTTTTTAACGGAATGACTAATTTTTTTTTTACTAAGATTGTAAATGCCTTGTTAACTATTATATTTAGGACGTATAAAGGTCAAGACAGTTTTACTCAGAATTTGATACTCTATCGATCTATGGTACAAAAAATAGGTCATTCCGTTAAAAAAAATCAAGGTGATCTTGAAATCTCTGAAGTGCCTCCACCCACAAAAAAGCACGTATCTACCTTATAAGATGTGCCCCTTGCTGCCATTTGAGCTCCACGCCTCAACATTTTCATAAAGTGTACCGTTAAGTCATTATTCGAAGTGATCAAGTTAGCTGAAACACCCTGTATATGGTGATTAAGCGTAAGATGTGTCATTGGCAGATAATATTGGCACTTACACAATTTGATAAATCCGAAAACAACCATACGTTTATTTCCTTATAACTGACGCAAACTGATTTACTAACAGCTAGCAAAATAATATTATTAATCATAATGTGTAGTACTGTGACTTGAAAAGCCAACTATCTCAATGTAATGATAACTAAATAGGCAGCGTAGTCAAATAGACATAAATGTATATACTTCAGTATTGGCACTTCACGAATGCCTCGTCAGATTCATTAATATAAATACACAAAATCACATGTAACTTTATGAAGTTACATAGTAAAATGCAGTATATGGTATACAATATGCATCAATTTTCACGCTTATAGAATCTTAAAAGTATTATTTTATGCGCTATTTCATATCTTGCGAGATATAAAAATCATGGCAGAGGTGCCTTCCACGATAAAATATTAAAATAAAATTACCACTTTAGTCTTCATCCAGTGCAGGAAACTACTATTTGGTTCCAAAGATACACTTACATCGTTAAACAATCGAGTTGTAATTGGAAAGCGCGTTTTAATGACATTTCGATTGTATGCCATTACAATTCATCAACCTAATTTGGACATTCATAAAAATATTACCTAAATTCAACGACATATCATCTAAGAACAAAAAAATAGATTAATATAATTGAGGTGGACATATTTGTAAGTGTTGCTGCAGACGCGCAATAAAGGTTGTCTCTATGGTAATATGTTGCAGGTGGATGCTCATCCCCTGGTTTACAGTGTTCATGTTTTTCCTTTAGTTCCGCCTGAAATATAGAAAAATTATTGGTATGTATCTTTTGGTATTCGTAAAACTCAATCCTTTGAATTTTTTGATGAGTACACAACTATATTTATTAGTAATAATATTTTTAAATCATTCCATTTTTTAAAACTCTATTTCACCTACAGTGATACTGCGAACGGAACTGTAGAGGAAACCAGAAAATTTTAATACCTTCCACAGATGTAAAACCAAACTGCAGAACTTGTGTTTGTGTAGAAATTCGGAAAAAACGAGTGGAAATCATATCCTCCACATATTTCTTGTAATTTCACGATCCTAGGACCAACAAATATCTCTCGGCATATTTGACATATGAAGACTGTATCTTAATCATTTTAACAGTTTCGTAAAAGTAATAATAATTTGGTATACAAAACACTACATCCCAGATAGCACATGACGCCTTGAAGACGTCCATCTTACGGCTATTTTAGGTCTAAGGCGCCTTTAAGCCGTCTTCAAGGCGTCATTAGGCGACATGTGTTATCTGGGATGTTATAGTAGCTATTTTTAGTGTATAACATTTTTTACTAGAGAAATAACGGTCGTTTTAATCGAGGAAAAATCGTTTTTGTAGACATAAAGATATTGTACAAAAAACATTGTGATGACTTTTTTATCACACTCTTTATACCTTCTATTCTCTTCAAACCTTCGCCAATCACAGAGAAGTGTGACCCTTCAATGCATTTTAACATTGTCGAATGGACAATTGTGTTTATTCGATCGAAAAATCTCGTTGGATACACTACTCGATATGTGTCGTTCAAAAAGTCACATAAAAACAATCATTGAAAAATCAAGCATTGTTCACAAAGTCACGTACAATCATACGCAAATGCGTCCAAAAGTATCAGTCGGATGACATTCACCAATATTTGCAAACATTCATAAATACAGTAGACTCTAACTATATTGCCACTAAATATATTGCTACGCGAGACACTTCCCCTTCACACGTACCTTCGAGCACAGAAATTCGCTCATGGTTCAGTTTTTGCACAGGCGCTGAGGCTGAGGCTATAACGATAGAACTTAGCATGGAGGGGGCTCTAAACTCATTGCCATTTTACTCTCCTACAGCCCCGACCATGGTAATATAGTTAGAGTCTACTGTACATGCGATATCTATTCAATTACATAAACGTAACCTCTACTGTACCGTCTGAACTAATCGGCCAATATTAATTTAATAAGTAACAGAACCGCAGATGAATTTAAAAGAGATTCCGCGTGTTTAGGCTCGCAAATAGTGCGAATCGAATCGTAGGTAATATCGTTCGATCTACGACTTAACGACACACAACAATAGTCTAGAAATTTACGAATAAACAGTTAAAAGAGTTAATTAATAGTCGTGGTTAACATGCATTCTCACCTGACAAATATCTCGACACGGGGGGCAAATTAACGCACCCTTGTGGAGCCAACCAGTTTGCATTATTCTAATAGCAATTTCTTGACCTGCGTGATAACATGTATAGGTATAATTTGCTACCTGCAAAATGAAATAAATATGATAAAGTATACTTTGTTGGATGTTTATATGCATAATCATAATTTATATTTTAATTACAGTGGCAAACTAACCATGACGTGCAATCGACCGGCCTCGCATTTGTATTGATAACAGCCAGAACCCCAATGTCGCCACTGTCGAGCTTGTTTGCAGGTTCTTTCTTCCCACATTTGATTAGTATGATCAAAGCATCTTGAGTGTGGTCCATACTTCTCCAGGGCAAAGTTTTTATCCGGATCTAAACAGAAATTGTGTTCAATGAACACTACTAAAATAAGAAATTTTATATTTTTGTTTTATCTGATAATTAATAGTTTCAAACACCATTAATTAGGAACAGATTTGATAATTACACACAATAGGATCCACCTCGCCGATTTCAATGACCTTGATGTATGTTATGAAGGTTAATGTTCTGAGTAATTTTATATGCAGGGTGTTACTAAAAATATAGTATAGTTTCACGGGTTGGATTCTTCATGACAAACTAAAAACGAAAATCAAGAATGACGAAATTGCGTTCTGAAAAAAACATCTGTCACAACGCACGGGTAATTCTGCTCGAGAGGCGCGCTCCTCAATTGTTAGACGAGTTGTGTTAGAGTCAACGATTATGTTCTTGAAACGGTCCATAGCGTTTTCTATTGCCGTTAAGTTCTATAGGTATATGTAATTACGGTACTTATACACTACACGATTTCGCGCCAAATCTCGTGTCACCAGTGTCACCGAACCGTACTGCCGAAAATATCATTGCAATAAAACTCGCTCTCGTTCAATTCATTTCGTTCAACCAAATGCGAATTTTGCACTGCACCAGGGCAGTTTTTGTTCGTCGAATAAGATACAAAAGTTGCCTGCTAATTGTGCAACACAACCGAAAAAGTTGGCACTCAGTGCGTACCAGTGCGGGTTCCCGAATTCGCTATTAGATTCTCAAGAAAGAGTATTCGGAGTTGGTTGGTGGTAGGTACCTTTGGGTGAGGGGGTTTGGGGGAGGGGCTGCGCCACCCCCCGCCTCTTAAGGATGCGTGTTCTTGATACATGGCTAGAGATTGGAGAACTAAATGACAGGGTACCCCGATATAATTTTAAGACTTCGGTTTCAAGAACCACCCTAATACATACGTACCCATGTATTAAAACTGGTACGGTTATACGTTTATTCGGGTACGTGTGTGTCTGAATACACGCGAAACAGAGACCTCTTACTTTAAGCTATTGCATCAAAAGTGTTTTACCCGTGTGTTTAACAATCAATAACTCACAATTTCGTTATTTTTCATTTTCGTCTTATTTTGAATCGCACCTTAAAGTTACTAACACGAGTAGCCGAACACCTTGCACATGATGAGTGAATGTACCAAATGTTACTTATAATTATTAACAGTATGACTTACGTGGATTATTCTCTTCGTAAAGGCAATGTGATCCTCTAACAACAATATTGAAGGCTCTCCATGTGAATTCTTGTATATAGGGGCAATAATCTGCCAGAGATACTGAGCCACCATAATACTGCACTTCGCCGGCGGGCACGTGAGGTATGGAATCAAAGTTCTAAACAACAGAACATATTTTGTGAATTTCTTAAAAGATCCTTTTTTTTGTAAATAAAGTAAGTGTTTTAAGTGGGTTTATTTAGTTCTAAAAAACCAATAAGTCGAACACGTAATAACTACGGTTATAATGACGCTCACAATTGGAGAAATAATCAAAATAATGTATTATTATACTAAAGGAAGGCAGAAATATAGCTACGGAATTATTGAACTTGTGAATCATATTTTTTTAAATTATTAAAACACTAATATTTTTGCTGACCGGGAACAATGAATCCCCGGGCGTGAGCACTCCCGTTTCGTTTCTGGTATTGCGAAAACGCTGCGTCTTAGTTGCGTTCTAGTATTCATTTGTTAAAACGCAAACAGGACGTAAATTGCTTCATATAAATTAATGTATGTAATGCCAAAACGCAGCGTCAATTTACGTGGCTGCAAAATAACGCGAGTCGCTCGTGTTCACTGGGTCTTAATGCATAGGCAGGAAAAAAGGCGTGAACCTATTCACATCGCTAGACCCCACCAAGTAAAGAGGTGGAAAATTCGAGTAACAATTCTGGCCGTCCCGATTTTAATAAATTTGAGTATAGCATTGAATTAAAAAAACGGTATACTATTAGAAAAACTCATACCTGGTACTTCTTAGCCAATGGTTGTGGATGTTTAATTAAGTTGCACAATGCAACTGAACTTCGATCATCAGTACATTCTGTTTGTAATGGATCTTGCTTCACTTTATTACAAAAGGGATGAATTGATTTTCCCCTGTAAAAAATGAATAAATACACCTGTTTATAAAACTAATTATTAGTATACATAAAATGCTATATTTGAAAAGCATAGCGTTTTCAGCGATGTCTATTTATTTCGTAGCACATGAATCAAAACCAGTGATGAATTTTGCGTGAAAAAGTGAGTCATAGGTTTCTTGGTCTGTTTGCTGCCTGCTAAATAGAGAAAAATAAATACTTTTATTTTTCGTCAAATCTTTATGTTAATATCTCGACATTATTTGACTGAAAAGATGTTATAAGTGAAAATTACTTTCAACCGTAATTTTATTTAGACAATATTGATAACTTATGAGTATTCGAAAATTCGTTTTTCTAATGTAGACAAGGAATGTATGTGAGTTAATTATTTGTTTCATAAAAACCTGAACACTTTAACTTAAGCATCTAATATGATAATAAATGATAAACAGATAAAATACTTTTTAAAACTATATTAACACATGGAAGTTACATTTGAGCTGTTTGAGAAGATAAGAGTACGAATTTGTCTACTAGTTTGAGGGATACTACTAGTTTAAGAGATTAGAGTAATCGTGAGAAGATAAAAGTGCTTACGACAAACGAGATGATTTAGAAGATATCCACTCTTTGCAGGATTTCATCGCAAAATTACAACCAAGGTTTCGACCCCATCCTAATTCTTGAGCCATGGAATAATTTGCAGTGTACCATCCAGTATCTTCCATGAGAGCGAGTGTTATTCTTGAATATACTGGGTTTTGAGTATGTGTCCCTGTCATTGCTTCGTTCTACAAAAATAATACAAATAATTAAGTATAGTCATCACAGATCTACTGCACACAGTTAATATTTAAGAGCGTATCTTTAAATATCGAAATATAAGTGTAATCTATAATGAAAATGTCATTAATTATGGAAAACAAAATTGAAACTCTGTAGTTTATTATGTAAACTATAAGACAGTAATATCTTACAACTATTACCGATTTAACAACGTTAGAGAGGATAAATCAAAAAAACTTAATTTTCTATACTGAACATGGACAAGACTATGTATATTTCTTACTTCATCATCGATCCCAAATGCTATATAAATAGGTCTACTTGATACGTTATGAAAAAATTTTATTCTAATACATCGATTTATTTTTTCTTTCTCGTAGAATCTTCACGTTTTCGTTTGTGCCACCAGTTGCATAATTGTAATAGTTTAGTAGAAAGAAGCAAGTAAATTACTTAATATTCTGTTACCTCAAATACTCGTTTCTCCCAATGCGTTAGAGCTGTGCCATCTTCTCCTTGATCTTCTAATTCTGCACCTTCCAGGTCCGGACAGTTGAAGTGGGCTTGCACCTCATCTCGAACTTTAGGCGTGACTATTATTTGCATTGACCTTTCCACATAGCCACCGTGCACTTGCCAGTAGGGCCTAACCACAGTTTTGATAGTGTTTTCACTCCATTGATGTGTTTGTAACCTGTGCGTTTGGTATTCATTAAAGTATTTTAATATTAAAAAATGTATTATTGACCTTAGGCATGCAACTAATTTTTCCCTCGGAGAAATAGCTTCGCGAAATCTGGTACTTTTTTCGAAATTCTTTTTTCAATTTTGGATACTATCATTTCGAATATACCCGAACTCGTTAGAAAATATTTCACGAATTTGTCATCATCCACTAAATGGGAATATAATCTGAAATATCCCCTTTCAGTTCTTTTTATCATCAAACTGGGATAAATCCACATTGTATGGGATAAAATGATTACGAAATTTATAGTACGAAGGTGGAAAATGTGATCGTGAGCGGCCGATAGTATGGATACTTAGAGATGTAATCGAACTGACAGTAGAACGTAAGCGTACCGAGAGCTGGTCGATAGTGTGGATCGAGCCTAAGGGTTAACACTGGATGGTCAACGCGTCTGTGCATTGTATTTCATTTCTACTTATTGCCACCAAGAATACGCAGACAAATATTTGTTTGTTAATAACTCTTTAACAAACAACGAACAACAGCTAAAATTTATTCAGAGTTACTCAGGTGGATGAACTTGGCAACGTACGTCAAGATTTGGGTTAGGACTCCTTAACACGTTCTGTTCCGTCGTAGACCGAAACGACGGTTATACAGTCAGACGATACCGTTACTTTTTATTATTTTATTCCTTTTTTTTTTTTCAGTCAATTTATATATTTTGCAAGACCGACCCTTTGCAATTTTAATTTCGTTAACACAAAGAGAATAATAGACAAAAGAAGCGAACATTTGGTCTGCAGTCCGCCACATGCGCTCGGTAACCTGGGACCCATCCGCGCCGGGCCTTACCGGGGCGCGCTGACTCGCAGACAATATAATCATAAAACCCTACCGTTGAGAGACTCGAAAATTCGTCGCGGTCAACTCGCACCGCGACCACGTGCGCGATATTTTCCTGACGTCCGCTTCGCCCTGAAGGAGAGGTATTCCACCTCCGCGTCGCGTGAAAAACCCGAGAAATTTGCCTTCCCCTTCAGGGCATCACCAATAAGGAGGCGAGTTTTGGTCACGCCTTCATCAAACTTTGAGGAAGCGCGACGTCACACGAAACTCGAACAGACAGTCGAAAAGATACACACAGTCGAAATGATACACGCAGTCGAAAAGATACATTCAGTCGAAAACATTCAATAGAAAAGAATCGTTCGCAAACACTCGTTCGCAAAACATACTCGTTACGACTAGAGTCACACGGACTCAATTCATTCGCATTAACTCGCAATCGAACAATCATTCGACAACATTCGCATCACGATTCGCCAGCTCCAACGGTCGAGCAATTATTCGTTTTTCTCACTAAAGAAATTGAAACAGTTGCCTAATATTAATTTGGCGGGCAACAGTTCGCAACCGGACGCGTACCACGACGGTCGAGCCTGGAATTTACAACTCCAGGCGGATTCGAAAGAGAAATCCACGCGGACGGACGCGACACGTTCCGTGCCACATGTACCACCAGTGGTACACGCGGCCTGAATGGAAAGTTTAACGTGTACCATCGGTGGTACATGTGGCATAGAACGTGTTAATATGGAACTGTAATTTAAAACAAGTCCAACAGCCTCTATTAATAAAAGACACACATTTTCGGTAATTTATGACTTGAAGAACGAAATAAACAGTGTCTGGCTATGTACGGCCTTTTTCCCTGTGGCACGGAACGTGTCAACTGAGGGTCGAAAAGGTACGTCCAACTTATAAAATTTATTTTGTTAATATGTCAAGGTCAAGGTCATTGGAATTGGCCCTTAAATAGCAGTTTGCCAAATAATAAAATAATATTGACCCAAGCGAAAGCGAATAATTCTGTTTTCTTAAATGTTATACACAGACACAAGTATTCAAATAAAGAAGAAAGAAGTAGAATCAAAATTAAAGATAGAAGTGAATGGAGGTTTTCGATTGGATCATATTTTCTTCATCTCTAAAGAATTAGACTGATTTGCTGTAAGACAATCTTTTGTACACTGTCGTGCAAATGCGCCTTCTGCAAGCGACAAAAGTGACGTAGGGAA